CACCCCCACCCCGCCCCGCACAGAGAGAGCGGCCTACATGGTGAGGGGAATCAGTTGGGTCAACATCGTTGGCCTGTGGGAGGGAGCACAGGCAGTTTATACCAGTGGATCCTGGGACTGGTGGGCCGCTTGAGCCCTGTTTTGGGTCCTGGGAGGGGCCGGGGGTAGATCAGGCAGAGGGGGAAGGGCCTTGTTCCTCGGCCCCAGAGCAGAAGAGGAAGGTGAGACACTGGAGTTCCACAGCAAGGTCAGACCCTGGGCTGCCCTGCTCCAGAGTCTGTGCCCTTGGCACTGCGCTGGCCAGCTCCCTGTGAGAGGCCGGAGATGAGTGACTATTGTGAGAGGAGGCTGGGCGGCCAGAATGCCCGGAATGGTCTAATGTGAACAGTACCCGTGTAGACATGGACAGGGGTCTGCCAGAGCAGGGCGTGTGTGCTGCAGTCACCTGGTGGCTGAGGTGGCCTGGCTGGTGTCTTCCAGTCCTGAGATGCCCGTTGTCCCCTGTGTCAATGGGCTTGTTTTCAGGGTGGGCAGGAAAGGGCTGAGAGGACTGCCTTTGCTCTCCAGAGGGGAGTGGGCCCAGGCAGCTCTTGCCAGCCCCAAGGCCCCGTGAGCCGTGCCCATTGCCACTCTCCATGGTGACTACACCTCAGCAGCAGGCTGGTCCTGCGGGCTCAGGGTGAGACCCCTTCTCTGTGTCTCAGAGAGGGTAGGGGGCCTCCTCGCCACAGGATTCGTGCTTCAATTTACCTTCCACATGGAGATGGGGAAGTTAGGTTTTCTATGCTCTTATAGGCAGTTTGACTAAGCATTATTTCAGAAATACTTTGTGCCCAGACTGTAAAGGTCACAGGTCCCTTAGGTGTCTGCAAGCAGCCTCACTCTTAACACGGCCAGGAGCCAGGACATAAGCAAAAAACAGGACACAAGATGTGTGAGCTAAAATCTGGGACCTTGACCCTCATTTGAGCCTCTCAGCTCCTCTCCTGGAACCTGCCCATTCTTGGTTTACCCAAGAGCTCGCATTTGGTTACAAGGTCCCCGAGTTTGGAAACATGACCACAAGTGCTGACTGAAATCCTGCAGTGTCACCTCCGCTAATTATGGCCCTGGCTGCTTTCCTCTGGCACCCGGAGGCTCCATCCCGGGTGGCATGGGGAAGTAGAAAAGGCTGTCTCTGTTAGAAACCACAGGGAGAACCCCGGGCTCTGAGGGGTGAGGTGATCACTCAAGCACTCGAGCCCTGCGCCGGTCCGGAGGCTGCAGTGGGAAGGGGATTCTGGCTCCACGGGAAGGGGAAGGGGAAGGGAAGGGGAGGGGGCCGCAGAGGTCGGGAGCTGCAGGCGGTAAGACACAGTAGTTGTCAGTCTAGAGTGTAGGCAGAATAGAAACCTCCAGAGAGCTGGGGGGTGCTCTGCAGCACCTCGGCCTGGGGCCATTTGGGGTGGAATGGCCCCGACGCACCCTTGGGGTCTCAGCAGCAGCCAGTAATTGCTGTTTATAGTCACCGCCCATCACTGAGCACAGGCTAAGAACAGGCAGTTTTGCTTACTTTAAAGAGGCCTCAATATATGTCATCGATTTTAGATCCCCATTAAAATCAGTTAAAATGTTTAGATTTGAGGGTTGGAGTGATCGATTTCAGTTATCTGGCCAATGTACGTGTTTGAAACATCTGAGTACCCAGCTCAGTTTACCCCAGGCCCCCTGGGGCCCCACTTAGAGCAAGGCTGAAGAGACACCGTGAGGCACACTTGTCAACTCCAGGTCTGAAGTCAGTTCCTTTCCCACAACTATACTGAGGGTAGATGCTGTATTCTTTCCTGTTGCTGCTATTAACAAGTGACCACAATATTAGCGCCTTAAAGCAACACAAAGGTATTATGTTCTGTGCGTCAGAAGTTTGGCTTGGGGCTCACTGGACTAAAGGTGTCAGCAAGGGCTGCGTTCTTTCTGAAGGCTCCATGGGTGAATCCATTTCCTTGCCTTTTCCAGCTTCTAGAGGCACCCACGTTCCTTGGCTCGTGGCCCTTTTTCCATCTTCAAAGCCAGCAGCGTGCGTCTCTCTGACCCTGCTTCCATCACCACGTCTCTTTCTCTGACCCCCTTCTTCCACTTTTAAGGACCCTTGTGACCACATTCGGCCCACTCAGATAATCCAGGATAATCTCCCATCTCACAGTTCTTAATTTATCCAATCTGCGAAGTTCCTTTTGCCACACAGG